TGTACGTTAGTATCTAACGGTGTCCAAGCCACTTGATTATCATCCTTGAAAGGATTCAATCAATTCGCTGAGATTGGCCTAACACGAGACCATACGGTCTTCTCACGATTTTAATCTCGAAGATTAAATCTGCCAAACTCACACCTCTCATGTCAAATCTCGAATTTAACATGTTCCTGGTAGATTTGATCATTTGATCGTTACTACCCACGTTGAGTTTATCGTGTATAAACAAACAGTGATATCACCGTCTATCGTACGCAATACGTAGACCCACTAGTCACTTTTATTTATACTAAACTCGTTGGTCATCAATGCATGATCAAAACCTCACATGCCAAACACTAAGGCAATTGTTGCGAATCATACCATGACATTACCAATTACACACTTTCTTTTCACATCGTGGAACCACAGACCCTCAGGTCGTTCCATGTCTACTAAGAAAGCGACACTTCCATTTTGATGAACTTCCAAGTCTCGCTAAACGACTTTGGCAAGTATCGTTCTAATGGATTCCATTCTCATCACAAGAGAATATATATCGAAGTAACCGTGGCATTCGCGTTGCATGTAATCTACAATTACAAGCCTGGCCATTTTACTTCAATATAACCAACCGGTTTTATCTTCCGACTAGTGATCCACTTAGGATCCAAAGGCTTTACAACCTGGAGGAAGAACAACCAGTTCCAAGTGTGATTCTTTAAGATAGAATCTATTTCACTCTCGATAGCCTCTCTCGGGTTGGTCCATTTGTAGAAGTCACCACTTCTACATATGTTCGAGGCTCATTTTCTAACAACCATGTCAGAAAATCCAATTTCTTTTCTAGTAAACAAGTTAGATTGTGCGCATCACACTCTAACATGTACGTCAGAAAATATGGACCAAAGGATTTTTCAATCCTAGCTCTCTTGCTACGTCTAGCTTTGAGCTCGGGTTCTCTTTCACACCCTTCAACCATAGCTACGCCGAAAGTTCCTTTCAACGTGCTAGATCCTTTATTGATCCTTCACAAAAATACATCTTCCAAGAACGATGAATTTCTTGAATCAATCTTTCGTGTTCTTATGTACATCCAAACTCTTGGACACGTGTACTAAGAACCAATACACACCTTTGGCAAGACACCCCCACATTTCAGGCATTAGTAGGAAACTTCCTACGTACCTACAATTCGTAAGAATTTCATGTGGGCAACCTTATTTAAAAGGTATTTACTTGTCCAAAGTATTGTCTCACCCCTCAAACTTTGAGATAGACCCGAACTTATCAACGTCTTGATATTTTATGTTCGGCAACAACGTTCGATTGAGATGAATACCGTACCGTACGCTCGAGTACGACACTAACGCTTGCGCTGAAATCACCAATAGGTGTTTTTTTTTTCACCACATCGATTGTTCGTAACCGCATTAATCCACGATTAATTTGGTTTTTTCTCTTTTTATTCTTTAAAGAATAAACATGTGTTACACGCTAACACATCTCGTAGGTGCGAATAGATTAGCCCTCATGAATCCATTCGGGATTGACCGAAAGCTCACAAACCCAAATCAGTGCTTCCGAAATTGAAACACGAATCAGTGCTTAGTAGTGAAGCACAAAACATGCTACACAAAGCACGAATCATTGCTGTCAAACTAACGCACCGACTCCAAAGCAATCTCTATTGCTTAAAATTATAAACTCACAGCAACATTCAGTTGCTTAATTTATAACTTCAGTCCTACCTAGCACTAGGATTATTAGTTAATTACACAATTAACCAAACCTCCTTTCGTGCTAATCACATAGCACTTTTACAACGCTAAATTTAATTAGCCACATACAGAAGGTTTAAGCTAAGTAAATTAGCATTAAAACCAATCATAATCTAGCACCTTTATTGCTATTACCAAAGCACAAATGCTTAATAGCACTGTTACAGTGTTTTAATTTGCACTTCAAAGTGCCAAATTACACTTTCCATTAGTGCTACAAAAACACTATTCACCAAAACACAATTTGTCTCAAATTAAATATACTAGTATAATTTGGAATTTTTGATCAAGTTAATTATCACACAATTGACGAGAACAAATCAACCAAATTTTCCGACTAGTTGAATCAAGCTTATATAATCGTTCTCAGAATATTAATTAAAATATTCAACAATTGAGCTGTGACGCTCACGATTATATAGCTATCCCAATTTTTTTGACAAATTGATCCTTAAAATCCTTATCGTTCTACATGAACCAGGACCGCAGTCCTTATACGGGATTTCAAACATGTAACACGCTTGTTACATTTCATTCCAGCCGTTAAGCCATTTTAGCATTTTCCACATAATGCTCCGTGATGCACTACGCACCCATGTTGAATCATTTTATACATTTGACATTATTCTAACAAATAATTCGTATGTACCAAAATTCAACCCAATGGAACAATTATATTTTTATTCAAATAAAAATATTCCAAGGATACTACGACATTTATTCAAAATAAATAAATAGGAAAATACATTGGAAACTAATTTCCATTATTCATATCTCGTAGTGATCCTTCAAACCCGTGTGCCTTGTTCCATTCTCAACCGTCCACTCCACAAAGGGTGGTCCATAGCGCACATCGGGGGTACCTCGGTTGTGACCTCACTCGTCCAACCATCCACATGTCTTAAACATAGCAAAGTTGTCCTCAACCTTTTCACCAGGATGACGGTTCGCTTCATAGTGGCATTTCTCCTCCTTCTCGTAATCTTCTTGAAAGCTAAGCTTCCGCTTGAGTTTCCTTCGATTACGGTTGAAGTCATTTGTAACACTACCATAGTCCTCAGACCATGTAGTCATTACACCATCATAGGATCCTTCGTGGCTTTTAGCCGATCCGTTAGGCAGCACAATAGGTACCAATTGTGTGCCATTAGACACAAGTCTACCGGATCGTGAACCAAAGTTCTCCAGAGCACCATCGTGTGTCTTTGCAACTCCCATGGAAATATCATTTCCAACGTTGCTGCCATCAACTGGCATCACAGAATGTGCAACATTGTTGCCGTTCTGACCATTTGAATGTGCACCTCCGGCAACATTCACAGATCCAATACTCTTGGAATCCACCGACTTGTTCATTATCTAAATAAGTAAGGTTTTAAGATTGTTGGTGATAATGAACCAAAAATTGATTTAATATCGTAAAATAATATTTATATATACACACACGAAGTATATAAAATATTATTCGATATATTATATCCGAAATATATATATATACACACAAATATATATATATAAATCAGACCACCATGGTTATATGCATGAGTATCTACGGAAAAGATATATGCATATCAACCAAATGGAATTTATAATACACAGATTATAATTCCAACCAAACTAGAACATAAAAGGAGGATTTTTGCTTAGAAGCATAATCCAAAACCGAAAGAAGGAAAGATTGGCTCGTGTTTGGGTAAGGGTTTTTAGCGTGAGTCAAGAGACCACACTTTCCTTAAAACCTTATTTGCCACCTTCCAAAAGTGCTAGGAGCGCCGTGGTCTAGGTTTCCCAGGATAAAACGCGCTACGGTTCGATGTTTGAGCACCCAAACGAGCGAACCCGGCGAACTAGAGCAAAGCTCTGAACACAGTTTCGTCAAAGAAAGGAGTAGAAGCAGAGTTTTGAAGCTTGAAAAACAAAATTTCGTGTGTTGTATGCTTGTTCACTCCAATGCAAAAATTCTGCTGTCCTACTCCCTTCTTATATAGGGTATGAAGGATTTAATAGCATCATTATGGCATTAAATTTGGTATTAAACCAATCTTTGTAACACCTGAAACAGCCAGCCCCATTATCATAGATTTAAATACAGATTTAAAGTTGGAATTAATTAAAAAATTAATTCCGCAAGTGTTGAATTTAATCTCACACTGGACTGGTTGCAGAAGTCGAACAGCAGCACAACTCTCGTGCTAGCTCCTTTCGGCCAGGGCTGAACCAAGGCTCGTGCTTCCTTTCGACCAAGGCCAAACTATGGTTCGTTTGGTGTTACTTTCGGCCTCTCAAGGCCCTGAACTCACATGAGAGTTCGGTTCAGGGAACTGCTCTCTTTCGTGCAGCCTTCAAGTGACTTTGGAAAAATGACACCGAAAGTTGGCCAAATTATGGTTGGTTTGGTGTTACTTTCGGCCTCTCAAGGCCCTGAACTCACACGAGAGTTCGGTTCAGCGAGCTGCTCTCTTTCGTGCAGCCTTCAAGTGACTTTGGAAAAAAAAAATGACACCGAAAGTTGGCATAACTTAGCCCGCAAGGCCAGCCAATTTTCGTGCCCGCCGGCACGAGCTCGGGCTTGAGTCGAGCCTCTCCGATCTCGTTTCTAGTTGGAATTTGATTTGCACCCCCCCCCCCCCCCGCGCGAGAGAGCCTCTATGCTATACAATTCTACAAGCTCTAAAAAAGCTCTTGTATAAAAGGGGGGTGAAATCCTCTTTCCAAACCATTGTGAGACAAAAGCTCACTTTTTCCCTTCATTTTCCAACTCAAATGGGTCTACTTTGAGAATCAATATCTCATTCACCCATTATCCGTTTTGTGCGTACAATATATCAATCTCTTCGTCTCACTACGAAGAACCCGAATCCACTTTGACCCGACCCAAATCAGAAGTGGAGCCCACTGATAATTGTACCACAAAATAGCCACTTAAAATGCCATTTTAATGCTATTTTTCCAACATATATATATATATATATATATATATATATATATATCGCACAAACATACTTCATAGCTACAGTAGTATATTAAATATTTATATACATTTGAATGGTTACATACCCTATGTGCATCTTAAAATATGCATAACTAACAAATATGTGCGTACATATAAACATCACTAGATAGTGATTGTGAGTTTCCTTTATCACACAAAGATAGTGTAGAAGCTAGCTAGCTTTTCATATCATTTAATTGAGAAATTAATTAGTAATGATTATCTTTTTACTGATTCTTAAGATATTAACGAGTGTCAAGATCGAAAGGAAAACAAGTGCGGAAAGGATGCAGATTGTGTAAATATTCCAGGCGACTACCATTGCATACCTTATCATGAAAGGCATATTCGGGTCATATTCGTTTCTATAGGTATGGATACAAATAAATAAATAAATATATATTAGAATTTAGAAGCCACAACGATATATAAAATGTATATTTATCTATCTATCTTAAATCCAAAATTATTATTGAATTGAATGACATAATTTTTCTACAATCAGGTGGAGGGATCATAGGTGGTGTTGTACTCGTGATCATTGCTTTATGGGTTGGACGCATGTACAGAAGGTGGAAACTTGAGAAAACAAAACTCAGGTTCTACAAGATGAACGGTGGCTTCTTGTTGGGGCAATACAAAAAAGCAGCGTATAAGCATGATGAAGATCCACCAATAAAAACTTTTAAGATAGAAGTGTTGGAGGAAGCAACTAACAATTTCAACCTGAGTAGAGTCCTTGGTAAAGGTGGTGTGGGCACAATATACAAAGCTATGTTACCCAATGGGTGCAGAGTAGCTGTGAAAAAATCTATCGAGGTAGACCAAACTCAGGTTGATGAATTCATAAATGAATTCTAAATCCTCTCCCAAATACATCATAGAAATATTGTGCAAGTACTTGGGTGTTGCTTAGAAACACAAGTTCCATTAATTGTCTATGAATTCATACCCAATGGAACTCTTTCAGAGCATCTGCACAAAACTGGTAAGGATCCACTGTCCTGGATACGTCGTTTGAGGATTGCTTCCGAAGTAGCTACAACCTTAGCCTTTTTGCATTCTCATGCTCCTAAACCCATCATTCATAGAGATGTCAAATCAGCCAATATACTTTTAAATGAAGAGGGTAGGGCGAAGGTTTCATATTTTGGGCTTTCAAAGTCAATGGAAATTGATCAACCATCACATTTAACAAGTCGTATTAGGGGCACATATGGCTACATAGACCCTGAATACATCAACACTAATCGCCTAATTGATAAAAGTGATGTGTATGCCTTTGGAGTTGTCCTCATGGAACTACTAACAGGACAAAAGCCCATATCTTCGAGTATTCTGAAGTACTTTTGGCAAGTCGATTTACGAAATCATTGGAGCAATAAGATGGGTTACTTCAAATTCTAGATGGTCAAATCGCAAATGAATGTAGTGATGAAATATTCAGAGTTGCATTGATTGCCAAGAGATGCGTGAAGCAAAGTGGTAGTGAACGGCCGAGCATGTCGGAAGCCGCATTTGAACTTAAAAAATTTGGTAAACAATAAGAATAAAGGAGAAGGACCAAATGATGATGGCCAAAATAATAATTTCTCATCAGGTAATATATATATATATATATATATATATATATATATATATATATATATATATATATATATATATATATATATATATTAGGGCCTTAATTAAGTGGTGTAAGTTGACTAGGCTTATTAAGTGGTCTGGTTGGATTTAATAACTAGTAGTTGTTAGTCAACCAAACTCTGTGCCTAATATAACCTGGATTGATGGGATACAGGATTATGGATTAGATAGCACATTCAGTTACAGTACTTAGACTACTCAGTAGATACCAATACACCATCTAGGGTTCTGAGTCAGGTCTGAGACAAAACATGGCTGACGGTCTACCGTTAAGAGGCAACAGAACAGGAACATCAACTATGGCTGGAGATCAACACGGAGCTTCCGCTATCATACGAGGTTAGGTTTCTCGTATACTATGGTTCATATAGTTAGACTATTGTATATCTAACATTTGGTATCAGAGCATTTATAATCTCTGCCTAGTTGATTGTATTGCCTAAAATCAACATTAAGTTTTTCATATACATTAAGTTTTGGTATATGTTCATCTAGCTTCCAATTACAATCCTTTAATTATTCAAAATATACATATAAAAAAATATATCGTTTGATATAATTGAGCAAATTGATTATCTATATTTTGGAATTTGGATGGATTATTTGTAATTGATTTAGGATGGCTATGATTAATTTTAGTTGTTTTTGAGCTTCTTATTCAATTTCAACATTAAGAAATAAAGAGTATTTGAATTTCTTCAAAAAAATTTGGAAGGTTGGAATTTAATTTCCACATTAAGCAAAGATTATAGTTTCTTCCAAATTATTTTGTTACCTACTGCCTGAGATTCAATTACTTGTGATTGTTTCCTTTGGATGGGTGGAATTTTAGTATAAAGAACACCTTCTGCCTAAGTGTTTTTCGCCAGATTTACTAATTTTCAGTATTAAGAACACCATGTCTGCTAGGGCTTCATCGGCTAATTAATTAGTGAAGAAGATGATGATGTTTATGGTTTGGGCCGGGTCTGGCCCAATTTGGGCAGACCTGGTCCAATAGAAAAAAATACATATTGGGCCTGCTTTAGTTTATTAGGCTTACTTCATTATTTTCCTTCATCATATATAAGCTTCTTCTATCTTAATTTTCAGTTTAATTCCTCCTTAATTAATTATTAAATTATCATTCAATTTTGGGCAAATATTAAGTTTTAATTTGCTGCTTGAATTTTAGTTTAATGTTAAGGTGCAAATTAAATTGCCTTAAGTATTGCAATTTATTTAAGATATATGGGTTAATAATAATATATTAATATGCAAATCATAGCATGCTACGTATATTTATTAAATACTTATTTTATTATTATAATTATACATTCGTAAAAGCATGCATTAAGATTGGATTTAGCATATTATTAACTCATAAATTCATTTTTTAAATATCACTCAATTTTAGATCCTTAGGCCATTTTAGGCATTATGGCCTATTAAGGTAGCTTGTTTTGGTTTCCCCTTAATTTTGAACACATTTTAGTTTTATGTGTCTCTGGGACTTTAGAACCTATTTTGAATAAGCTATTTGGGACCTATCTTGGGTCATTAAAGTATGGATCCCACCATTTTGATTGACATTTAAATAATAATTATAGCTCCGTTTGGGTTTAAACATGTTTATTAAGTTTTAATTATTGCTAACTACCATATTTTGGTATTCATCGTTAGTAATAATATTAAGTTTTGGGTCTATTTCAGTATTTAGACCATTTTTTTTATTAATGTTATAATTCACTTGGTCCATTGAGGTTTATGTGCCTAATTTGAGTGATTAATTGCTACAATTATTGTCTTAGTCTGTTTTGAGACTTTAAGGATTAAGGATTTAATTGATTTTTTTGGCCATTAAGAACTACAACTATTGTTTAAGTTGATTAATTTTTTAATATATCAATAGTTTCAGGACCTTAATAATAATATTAAGTCTTTAATTTAGGGCAAAAGCAATATAGTTGGTATGTTGTCTTATAATGGTAAATTTGGTTATTACCTTAACTTCAGTCTCCCTAAGTATCATCATAGTCATGGTTAATTATTATGTGGTAAATTGAGATTAGTATTTGGCATCCCTTAGTTACAGTTTTACCTTTATTGTAATTATTATTAATTAGCATTATTAATTACTGTTATTAAGTTTAGGGGCTAATCTCATTTTATTGCTTTCCATAATAATTATTATTTCATGGTAATCTGCTATATTTGGTACATTGGCATGATTACCACTTCATTTTACATGACTATTATATTAATGTTGGTAATTAAGTCCTACCAATAAATTTTTTTAACGTACCATTGGACGCTGCATCGAGTTTATTGACACCGATAGTGAAGATTGGGAGAATTCTAGAGTCTTTTCTTCTCTTGTGGATCGTCATCGTTGTTAGCGCAATGGGCAGATGCGGTTTGCATCATTAAGGTTAGTCATTAATTATCTTTTATGCTTGTTATTGATAATTAGTGCTACAGTTACGGTTAACCGCTAATTTGGACTAGTCACATATTTTATCTTTAGAAAAATGAAAACATTAAAAAGTGCATTACCATACTTTAGTTTGTCGTTATTATTAATGTTAATAGTGATTATAATGTTACTTATTGCTATTAATAATTAATTAATTAATGATGACATTAATATTGTTATGGTATTCAGTTATACACCTTGAACTGTTTCCAAATAAATTTATGTGACAATATTCCAGTTAAGAAAATATTTTTCTTGACATTAATATTTTTCGGATTTCAAATTTTATTAAGTTTTCAAAATTTTCGAAAACGTTCATAAAGGTTAGCGGTTTTAACCATTGTTTTTTCATATTTGTCTCCTACTTAATGTGATAATATTATTATGGCTATTTATTGCTATTTTGATTGTTTGCAATTTTGCCATTAATAATAATATTATTATTAACTGGGTTATGGAGAGTGATTTTGAATCAATTTAGTAATTTTGAAAAAACATATTTTCTAGGCAATGGACTTTTGCCATTAATTTCATAATTCATTTAATTCTTTGAATTATGATTTTAGATATGATTGCCCATATTTGGTTAAGTATGAATAGATGAATATTTGGTGTAAATTCATATTTTTTAGTTGGTTCATATTCTTTAGATAGTTTTATGCATTCGATCACATTAAATGCATAATATTAAGTTTAATTATGCAATTAGAGTTTGTGAGATTTTGCTTTACAAATTATAGCATATCCTTTTGGTGTGATATTGTTTAAATTTGTAATTCAGTTATTTCTCATGAATTTGATCTTTATGCATTAAAACATTTTTCCATGGGCTTACAGTTTAAAAAAAAAAAATTAAAGTATATATTCAGTACATTATTATTCAAACTGTTGGGTCTCTTTTGGTTTGGACTCATTGGTGTTTGAATATTAAGTTTATACTTTAAAATCTCATATTGTAAATTGCTTTAAGTTATGCAATTTATTTGGAATATATGAGTTTAATGTTTAATTTTATGCATATTTGTCCTAAGCATAATATTCTGTTTTAAATTATGCAATTTTATTATGCCTTTAGCAATGCATACTTTGGGATGGAATTATAGTAGTTCCTTATTTAAGTTGGACTTACGCATAAACTTTAGTTGCAGTAGTGTCTGAAGTTAAGCACGTTTAGTCCGCTATTTTTAGTTCACCATTTGAGCTTTAATCATAGGTGAACCATACAGTTTACTAGTGTATACCCTACAGTTTTAGGTTCATACCCCCAAACAGTTATACATTAAGTATATATGAATCGGGGAGACATACTATTTTTAATGGCCATGACTTAAAAACATCTTGTGCCACTAGTCTCCTTAAATTGATACTCTATTTAAGGAATTGGTTTTCAGTGAGACTTAGTCTCTAACCGCCTTTCCTTGGAGTATATTTAGATTTTCCCATCACAATCTGGTATAATATGTTTGTCAAAATTTTAAGTATTCCTTTCCAATGTGATTTGATTTCGGTTCATTAAAGAATAGTCAAAGCATCTTTAATTTACTGGAGTCTCTTAAGTTTTCAATCTTGGTTAATTAAGGAAATGCTACAACATATTCAGCTACCTAAGATTGTTAAGTTTCAATCACATAAAGTTTAGGCAAGGAATTGATAATTGTTTAGTGATCTTATAATTTTAATTTGGTTTGGGAGTAGCCACAGCATCCTTAATCTGTTAAAATTATATATTAAGCGGTTTATTTTGATCACATAAAGTTTTGGATATATCATTTGTGATTAATTGTATGTAATATGATGAAATTTAGCCCACAGGCAATTTCGTTATATTTGTATAATTAATCAGGATGAAATACTGGACTACGGTCATAATTTAGCCCACAGATAATTATGTATCGGAATGTAGTTTAGTAGTTTTATCAGTGACGATAGAAATAAATCAATTTATTTACTTTATGGTTATTTGTAAATAATTTTCAATTCTATCATGAAGTTTAGTTTTATGATGTAAACTTTAGATCGTATTTCTTAATTTGCCCACAGGGATTAAGAAAAGGAACATGATCTCTTAAGATTTTTTATCATAATGATAGCAATGAATCTTATTGACTAAAACTTTAGCCTACAACAGGCAAGTTTTATGTCATGTGATTCTTCAACTCATTTGATAATGGTTTCATCATAAATAACATTTTCAGTTGGATCTAATTGAGTAAAACTTTAGCCCACCGGCAAGTTTTATGTCACTAGATTCTTCTGGCTCTTTAGTAATTGTGAAAAATATTATCATAAGGGTTTCTTAATTGGA